GGGGGGCGCGCCGAACGCCCGGGGGTCAGGGGAGGAGTGGGTGGCCCGACGTCCCGGGTCAGGGGAGGAGCGGACGGCCCGACGTCCCGGGTCAGGGGAGGAGTGGGCAGTCTGACTTCCTTAGGTAAAAGGACAGTCACTTCTTGACCTTCTGGCTAAAATCACGTGTAAAGGATGAAGGTTTTCCTTTCAGCAACATAGCTGCACAAATGTTGACTAATAGTTCAAGAGCACATAGGGCCACTTCTCAGTAGATTGACTTCCAATTCGGGTAGCATGAATAATTCTTCAGAGATTTCTCAACCTTTATGTCCGTGTCAGAGAGCCATTGGGTGTTAACTCATGGCTCCTCTAAAGCGTAAGCACTGTAGGATGGGCCTGTCGCCGTGTCCCCACACCTGGGACTCCTGGCCCATAGGCAGTGCCCACTCAGTATTTGTTGGCCAGAGGATGGAGGGGCGCCGGGGCATGGGGGAGCCAGTGGCCACCCGAGGTCTCCACGCAAGCGCACAGAGCGCAGACGCAGTGCGCACCGCCCGTCTTTGTAAACAGCTTAGCTCGTCAGACACGCGCTGGGCGCCCAGTGGATGTGGTGGGGACGTGCATCAGGCCTCAGAGGGTCGTGGCCTCTCGGGACACATTTCCACAGAGGGGCTCTTTCCTTTCCCCTCCCTGATGTACTGCGCATGTGCCTCCTGTCTTTTTTTCAAGGTGGATCTTGTGTGGGAAGATGCCCTGTTCATGTTTGAGTATTTTAAGCCCAAGACCCTTCCTGAATTTGACAGCTACAAGACCAGCACAGTGTCTGCCGACTTGGCCAACCTCCTGAAGAGGATCGCCACCATCGTGCCACGCACAGAGAGGCCGTCACTGAGCCTGGACAGAGTCTCTGCCTACATCGAGGGGACCACAGCCGAGGTGGGCCCCACTGGATGCGAAGAGTTGGGGTGACGGGCCACGTCCCCAGCTCTGCACCAGGCCTCAGGGCCAGGAGAGGCAGGAGGCGCTGTCCTGCACGTACTGGCCACATGCGAGTCCTTGAGTCCACCTTGCCTCATGCTGGCCCCTCGCCCACAGGTGCCCTGCCTCCCAGAGGGGGCAGACCCCGCCCCTCCGGTGGTGAATGAACTCTACTACCTCCTGGCCGATTACCACTTCAAGAACAAGGAGCAGTCCAAGGCCATCAAGTTCTACATGCACGACATCTGCATCTGCCCCAACAGGTCAGGGGCGGTGACTGTGAGGACCTGGCTGGCCGGGGGAGGACTGGGTGACGCCAGGTCAGTGGGCTCTCCTGGGCTCAGCCTGGGACTTCCTGGCCCAAAACAAAGAGACCAGGAGAAAGGAATGAAGAGGTTGCTTAGCATTCGGCAGTTATTAGGAAAGGCAGCTTTTCCATTCAAAAAAAAAAAGTAGCAGAAAGGACCCTGGGCAGGCATTGGGGTCCGAGAAGGCTGGGGTGGCCAGCTGGGCCCTGGCGTGTGTGTGAGGAGGTGCTGCCTGGCCTGGCACGACTGCTCTCACTGCACACTGATCATGGCTGCTTTTCTCTGCGTGTGCGGTGGGGTGCGGAGACGCACTCGGGCTCGGGTTCCCTCCCCTGCCCTGCCGCAGGACGTCATGGTGGCACGTGCAGAGGGTGTGCTGTGTGCGTGGCCTCCGCTTTCCCATGGGCACTGCTTCACTTTGTCTCCAAATGCAGTGTGGGCCTGGGCGTCCGCGGGCCCCACTGCACTCACGGAGTCGGCCGCACTGGATAAGAGGGAGGGTTTCCTCACTGCGGCCACGCCTGGGAGATAAAGAGGCCACCCCGTGTGGCAGACCCGCATCCAAAGGTCCAAGTGGCATCTACAGGTAGCCCCTCAGGAAGTACTCAGGCCAGCCCGTGGGGGCCACCCTTGGACGATGGGTGAGCACAGAACTCCCTCACTCTGGGGAAGCCGGAGAGTTCCACCTCGTCAAGGATCCACCTGGCCAGGGAGAGAAGCGGCTGGGATCTGAGTGGAGGAGCCATTTTGTGAGACGTCGATAGCTTGTGGGGAAGGTTCTCACAGATCCCCTCTTGTCCTGGTTCTCTGCCTGGTGTCAAAAGTGAGGGTGATAAACCTGCCTGTCCTTGGGGTCGTGGGCTCCGGGCATGGCTCTTCTCACTTGGAAGTCCCTCAGTCGGCAGAATGAGGGCCACGGCGGCTGAGTGGAGACTCTCCAACGGCACACACCCCCCTGGTGAGAGGTGTTGGCGTGCCAGGCCTGGCCCGCGAGGCATTGGCCACCGTTGTGGCCCCAGCAGGCAGACGCCGGAGGAGACTTGGGCTCAGTCTGTCTGCTCTGGTAAACATGGCTGTTGGGATCTGGCTTTTCTCTCAGCCGTCTGGGCCTGCCAGGTCCAGGCGAAGCCCAGGGCCGACAGCGGGCGGGGAGCAGAACCCCGACTGCTGCGTCTGGCTCCTGTGGGAGGTGGGTCTGTGAGCGTGCTGATGGCGGACTTTTCTCCCTGCGTTCCGATTTTGCTGAGCTGGGAGTGACCCAGCCTGGCCAGTCGTTTTGCAGAGTGGCATTTGGGAAGGGCAAAAGGAGAGAGAAACTTAGCGTAGCTCATCCCCACTGCCGAGGAGACAGCTCTGGGCCCGGCGCCAGCACCAGCCTGCCCTGCACACGTAGGAGCTCGGTGTGAGCCCCGGGCGCGTCCTCGAGCACGCTCCTGTGCCAGCCCGGGCCCAGCACCCCGCAGGTCAGCGTCTCCCAGGGCTGGGCTGGGTACTGCTCGGCCAGAGTCAGGGACCCGCACCAGGAGATGGCGCTGGGTGGGAGCCAGCGGAGCGTTTCAGGTTGTCACGATGGCGCGTTTCTGCTTTTAGCCACTTCGTATTCGTGGCAGGAGATAGCGCTTTCCGTTTTGGTACTCACGCAGGCATGTGGGCATGAGCCATGGCGTGGTCCCTTTCCTGAGTGAGCGCACACGGAACCGCCGAGGGCACTCTGGGAAAAGGAGTGGCCCTGGCAGGACGTCCCTGGCGGGGTCCTGCCCATCTGTAGGGAGTTGCCGCCTTCCTCATGCTGCCTCCTCCGGGGTGACCTGAGCAGACACGGGGAGACACAGTGGCCCCGGTCCCAGGGAGGAAGGGCCTGGCGTGAGGGTGAGCCCCCGTCTCTGCGGCCTTCCTCACCGGGAAGCGCCCTCGTCCCCCTTCCGTGCTGCTTTGCCCACACTGCGTCTCCGGGCGCCCGGAGTGCGGAGAGGCACGGGAGAGTCTCCCAGTCCCCGCTGCCCACCGCACCTTGGAGATGACCAGGCGGCTCCCGGAGCCCGTCCTTCCCGAGCTGCGCCTGCTGTCCTCTGTGCTGGCGGGCATGGACTCCACGCCCAACGGTGTCCAGAAACCTAGGTCTTGGTGTCTCTGTGGCCTCACACTCTCTCAGAGAGGTCTCTGTGTCATCGCCAGTTTCACTTCATCTTTTATTTCTTGTATTTTCAAATTGACAAAGTGACCCGTATTCATGGGGGAAAGTTTTTTGTGCGTGAACGTAATGTGTTATGATCAAATTAGGATGATTTGCACACCCATCCCTTGAGTCCCTTGCCATCTCCTCACGCTGGGTTTGTTGTCACATTCACGGTGACGTCGGGACGGTAGACCTCGGCCATCGTCTGGAAGCCCTCGTCACCGAACTGCTGAGAACCGAGCCGGAAGGGCAGGGTCTCAGGGTCTCTGAAATGCGAACGGGATAGACGTGGGCTGCTGGGGCCTGTGCTCTTGGCCGAGGAGCGTGGGAGCAGGGAAGGTCACACTCAGCCTCAGCGCCCTTTTCTCAGCCGTCAGCCTG